CATATTATAAATGGTGGCCGACATCTTTTATTTAATTCATACTCAAACTTTGGTCTTAATGTTGGTGTGTTACTCGCCTATTTTTTTTCAATGTGGCTGATAGCAAGTGTTACATCAGTTTTTTGGATTAAAAGACAACAAAAGAAGGCTGCTCAACAAGTTCAACAAGCTAAAACTGAAAAAAAAGAACAAAAAATTACTACTGTCGTTAGACGTTAATAGATCTATATCTAACATTCTTTCCTCTTACTATTTACTAACACTGTATCATCATATCTAAACTAATAAAAACTTAACTCATTCGTAGAATTTATTAACTAAAAATCTTTACAATTCATATTAATTTATTTTATATAATAGCGAACTTTAATTTGATGTAAAACTTCTTGTTTATGTAAAAGAAATATTTTTTTCAATTGCACTTTTTCAAACAGAAATTTATTTGTAAACATAAAATTACAGTATAAGAATGCGGATGTTGTTCCGGAAGATTATTACCTTCCGTTTTCTACTGATGAACTACGTACATTTATGATTTCACAAAAATGTTAGAGTTATTTTTATAATGTTACACTTAATTAATCAATACTGTACTACCTCCAGCTTTTCTAAATACATGTAGTATTTATCCAACAGACAAATATTAGAAATCGATTGTAAAAGAACATCATGATATTTATTAAATAGAGATGACGAAAAAAAGGAAGAAGACAAAACACACCAAAAAAACGCGTTTATTTTCAAATTCATTTTCGCTTTTTTTATCTTGAACAAGGTCTTTGTTTAGTTAAACATTGTGGTTTGATATTTTCATTTTCTTCTCGATCTTCACTATTGTCATTTACTGGTGTCGAACTACTAGAAGGTAAACAATGATTATTTTCAGATGTTGTTAAAGGAGATTCAGGTGAAGTTGAAATTGAACAACAACGTTCATCAAATGATGTTGAAAATAATTTTTCTTGATTTGATGAACATGATGATTGAAGTAATTGTGAAAATGGATTAAAATAAAGTAATGGAAGTGGCGGAGGTGGTGGAGCTGGTGGTGCACTATAAATTTGTTCATCTGATCGATGAGAACTAACCGAGCTACAACTACTACTCTTGCTGCTTATACTACCACCTGTTGCTAATTGAATAGGTTGATTACGATTATGTTCTAATGATGATGTTGTTGATGTTGATGACATTTTTCTTGTACCTAATTTATGTTCAGCTGCTTCAGCATTCGAAATATTTTCTGTTTTTTTCCATTTTGTACGACGATTTTGAAACCTAATGAAGAAAAAAAGAAAATCCTTCAGAATTATTTAAATAAGAAATCTTCTTTTATCTTTCTCTAAAGAGACATAACAATTTTTGATGGAAATTATTATTACATCTTTGATTTAATTAATGACTTTATCCTTGAATGGAAAAAAAACGCAGTTAATTTTCATAAATAATTCTCACTCTTAATAAAAAAACAATAGATATGTTCATCTATTCATTTACGTCTAGACAAAGTCATGAACATTTCTAACTCCTACTCTAAAATAGTTTTATTATGTAATATTAAAAATAACTTGGTCATTTAAAATACTTAATACGTACAATAATATATATTTTATTAATCATTCTATTTATATCGAATTTTTAATTAATTCTATTCAATTACAGATCTATAAAGTAGAATGTTTCTAATTTTTACATTATATATTTAATCAATCTGTCATTATCAACTAGAGTAATGACGTCGTTAGATATTTATTCTATTCTTATTTTCTAATTTCTTCAACATCAAACTCATTAATATTTTCAAAAAAGAAAAAAACTTAATTTATTTTTACATACCAAATTTTAACTTGTGTTTCAGTAACAGTAAGTAAAGTTGCCATTTCCGCTCGTTCAGTAGATGATAAATATTTTTTATCTTCGAATTTTTTTTCAAGTTCAAATATTTGTTTACCCGTAAAAGTTGTTCGTGCTTTTTTCTTTTTTTTCTTTTGTGTATTTGATAATAAATCTCCATCATCACTATTCGAAACTGATCGACAACGTTCTATCATAATACAAAACTCAAATTATGAAAGAAAGAAAGAAAGAAATAATTCGAACCTGTATGTTTTTTTGTTGTACATGAATATAAATCATTCGTTGTCGATGGTTTTGAATCAGCAAGTATATCATCAATATAAAAACGTGTTATACGATTATTTGTTGATGGACGATATTTTTCAGTATAATGAAATAGATGACGATTTGATGGTATATTTAAGGATAAAAATGGCCATGATGATGTATAATGTTGATAAAGATCATTTGTTGATATAGGCATCATTGACATGACGACTGAGAAATAAGAATGGTTGTAAGAAAATCTGAAGATGTAGAATATATATATAATATCAACTAATCATATTAAGCGATGGGCACTTTGCGCAAACGCGTTGGCTTTTACTTAGACGATTAACAAATTATCAGATGTATATACAAAGATAAGATAGCCTCAAGGAATGTCAAGAGAAGAAGAAGAAAAAATAGAAGAAAATCACCATTTGATATCTATCGGTTCTTTTTATGATTGGTTAATCTATTCAATATATTAATGAACCAATCGATTAACGACCGATTAATATATGCACGTCTCATATTCTAAAAACTTACTTTTCTTTATAGGTATCTATATATATATAAATCTGTGTGTCTGTGTATGTCTCTGTCAAAAAACTCTCTCTTCTCATTTGACTTGATTTCTTCCGCTGCATCCTTAACCGTCAAATTCATTCATGTGTGAGTAGTGAGTAACAGCAGAAAAGAATCACCGTCACCATCATCCCTCATCATCTCTTCCTTTTCTGACTGCTAACCTCACGCGCGTCAAATTACAATTGTCAGGTGTACAAGAGAAGAGAAAGATGATGATGATGATAATAATGCTCCGTTTATTTTCAACGAGCATCAAGCGGAAAGTTGGAAAAGCTTAATGGCTACTGCATTTTCCTATATAACAACGACTAATTGAGAGTCGGATGATGATAATGATGATCATTTCAAATTATCATTCATGCGAAGTAATATACATACACCGATAGAGATACTAAAAAGAGAATGTCTTACTAATGATAATTGATGCTATAGTATATTCATTTTGTTCTTTCTCCGTCGCTCTCTCTCTCCCTTCGTATATATATATATATATATTAAGATATATAATCATCCATCAAACAAAAAGTTGTTATTTGACTTAATAAAAGGAAAAACCATTAGGATAATGAAGTTAAGCATAAAATATAAAAAATATTGAGATTATTTAAATCTAGGTTTATTATTTTGTAAGTTGTTTCCACTTAACTATTATAAATGTGTATTTTATGCAGGTGTACAAAGTAAGTAATCTTTTTTTTCCATTTATTCATTCTTTTTTAACCTCACTGTCTTCGAACTCATCATCATCATCATTGTATATATGTTATTTTTCTCTGTTTCTCTCTCTCTCTTCGTTCTCTTCATTTTTACTCACAAGGCACAATCAATTTGAGAGGAAGTATGATAGAATTGTTACTCGAGCAGCAATTAGAGACATTAAATAGGTTCCGCTCTGGCACTCTACGACGTTGTCATCATCATCATCATCATCGAATGGTAGATAGACAGACAGACAGACAGATAGGCGACATATAAAAAAGAAAGAAATAGAAAAAAAAGGAGATATCTTATTCTAATTCTCATACTGGTGTGATGCTTCAAGCTTCTCACTCTCACCTTGTTACTCTATTCTCTTATTCTATTGTTATATTATTAATTTAAGTAGCTCTAAAAACGATTATATAATCAAATTGACAGATGAACATATCATAAGAATAACTAATATATGTCTTTCTACTTCAAAAAACAAAACTATAAAATTATAATGGCAAGTTATGAATAAGAAGAAAAAAAATTAAAAAGAGATGAACATAATGAATCAAATTAGTTATCTATTAATGGTTTTTTTTTATTCAACCTACGTGAATATTAATTTCAATCTAAAAAGCTTCATGCAATAATAATTATTTAGTCTATTAATCTATAAATAAAAAAAACGTATATTATAGGTCGATAATCGTTTTGTAGAATTTTTGAACTATACAGATTATTAGAAGAAGAATGAATTTCTCACTTGTTCTTGTCGTTTATATAAATAAATAAGTAAAAGATATTCTTGTTTTCTTTAATCGATAATAACATGGAATTCCAACTGTGTAAGATACATTATAGTAAGTATGCAAAGAATCTTGAAATGTATACGATCAATCGATGGTTTGTGTTTAGAATGATGAATCTATTTGTACTTCGTTCTCATTTAACTCATCATATAGATAGGAGGTTTGTTTATGATTAACTTGAACTGATCAAGATATCTATAAATGATGCCAACTATCCTTTTTTTTTGTTGAGAAAGTTAGATCAACAAAGAGAGAAGCAAAAACGGAAAGTGATGCAAGCCATTTAGTATGAATAAGATAATAGACGATAAATATCAATCGCTTTGACCATGTCAAACATGTATGTATATCAATCTGCATTGATAGAGCAAAGTAGCAGCATATCAACAATCATATCATCTGGAGCTAATCATCATTGATAGATTGGCGGTACGATTATTGAGAGAAAAAAAAGTAATGTAAGTGAGCAATATTAGCTGCACCGAAGGCTATTCTTTGAAGACAGAATGTCGATGCACTTTACTATGCCGACACTATACGGATTATTTCATTTATACCATATGGAATGATTTGTTGTTATTGAAATTCTCATTTTGGTTAGAATATATTTCTTTATAACGTTTTTTTTGCTTCTTCTCCTCTGTTAACGATTAATACATGTATATATCTGTTGTTATTATTATTAATTACTTTGAAATATTAAAAATAATTATGACAAGAAGAATAGTCTGACAATATATAAACATTTATACTCAAGGTTTACACGTAATTAGTTTAATTATAATTTATTCAAGTGATAAATTAAATCTTATATGTAAAAATTTTATAGTTATAGAGTGAATTATAATTTGATCAAATTATTTCTTATTCATTATTTAACATACATGACTATAAACACAAATATTAATAATAAAAAGAAGATCACAATTTTTATTTAGGTGAAATTTATGTAAAATATATGTTAGAAAAAAAAGCTTATTTATCAATATGTAGTTTTATTAGAGAAATTTTATTGTTTAGTATAGACATTTAATAGAATATTTTTTCTATCGAGATGATAATTGGATTATTCATTGTAGAAACGTTTCACTCTGATAATTTAGATATCAACATGACCGTTTTGTATGAATATCTTTTATATTAGTCAAAGAAATACATTACTGTAATCATTTTTACATTAACCGGCCTTTTATTTGTTTATAATCAATTGTTTTTTTCCTACATGAATATATAGATACCAAACGGGACAATGAGAAAATGTAGAGTAAAAAAACACTTTTTCTTATGACTAATGATTTAATAATTTACAAAAGAACAACAAATCACATACTAAATATTCGATGTAAGTATTGTAAAGAATTTATTTCATTAATAGACACTTCACGTACCAATCTAATCTTCTATAGAATATCAATAATATGAATAAATACTTTAGAGTAGAAAAAAAGATTTATCTGGTCAGAATGACATATAAGTTAATAGCTATATTGTTTTCTTGTTTCGAGAAAATACTCAGAATAGTTAGTTAGCTTTGTAACTTGAATAAGAGAAATTAACTATTTTTTCTTGTAATCTTGATGTAATCAATGGATAACAGATGCGTAACAATTTTTTTCTAATATATAATAAATCTTGGATTAACATACATCTTGTTGAATTCTCTACTAGATTCGATATAATTATTAATTAGTTTCCTTTCTTTTTTTTTAAAGATAAGAATACTATCTGTCTGATCAATTAACACTCAATAACATTTTCCATATATTCAATCAACATCTCGTCTCATGAGAATCTTGACGCGATTATATCGTGTCAGGAAGAATATTTATCAGACACGCATATATATATATTCATGCATGCTTATATATATATATGTATACGAATGAGTGCGAACGAGAATACAGAACACAAAAAACTTTTTTCTCTGTCAACATTCATTAATACTAACAGATTTTTTTTTTCTTTTCATCAAGACATCGCCTTTGACGTTCGCTTGAGACTCTCTTTTCTTCTGTCATTCACCACTCTTGACTTAGTTGTTAAACAACGCAAGTGTTTGCATTAATCATAGTCGGGGTTTTTGCCAGCGAAAGTTTTTTCCTTTATATATATATATATATATATGTCGGACATCAACACTCGAGCGATCGATTTATATAGAATGGAATGATGAGACCGAACGAAGAAAATAGCGAGAATACTATGTTAACAAATTTTGTCATAATAAGAGATTATTTTTGTGTATGTCAAGACAATAAGTAAAAGATATTAGTGTTACTCCATCATTAGCGCAACCATTCTCCCTACTGATTTTCTCTGATGTTCATTCTCTCTACGGCTTTGTCAATCTATTTTTGTTTGCGCCCTTCTAACGACTATGTTTAATTGTTATGTATATATATCTAGACCATGTACATATATTCTCTTGACTTGTTTCTTTTCTTCGGTGGCGTCTGATAATACTTCCATTCTGAGTGACATTTAATAATACATGGACGATAGCTACGGACAGATGATAATGATGATGGGAACATGGTATATCGGTGGTTGACATTTGTTTCTTCCTTTATAACAAAACAAAGACAAGATCATATGGATCTTTTTGCAGCGATACTTATTAGTATCACAGCAGTAACAATTTGTGGAATTTGTCTTTTTATTTTTGTTTGTGCTTTACAACCAAGATTTTTACGGTATATTTTAAAAATATTTTTAATTGTAGTTTTTCTTTGTTTTTATTTAGAAAATTACATGGAAAAACAAGTCGAGCCTATCAAGATGCTGAATCAAATGGATCAGTCAATAAAAATGAAGATAATCTTAGTACAAAAAGTCTTGATGTAGCTATGCAATCAACTGAACGAGCATCAGATGATTTGTCAACATCTCCACCATCGAATGATCGAGAGAAGAAAGCTTATTTAAAAGCATTAGAAGAAAGTCTTAGAACAGGACGACCTATAAAAAATGATGAAGAAGATACTGATCCAACCAATAATCAAAATACATCTCGTTTAAATCCATTAAATTTTATTCGTCATTTTATTAATAAACATATACGTCGTCGAACAAGTGATATATAATTAAATTAGAAGAAAACAAAAAAAGTAATAAAAATTATTTTTCTTGTTGCCAAGGTAATCGATCATTCAGATCAATATTACCACCAGTTATAATAACCGCTATATTATGAATATTTGTATCAAGTTTATTATGTTGAGAAAGTATAGCACCAAGTGATAATCCCGAAGCAAGTTCAATAACTAATTTAAGATGTTCAAATGCAAATCGTGTTGCGTCAATCATGACTTTATCCGGTATGGTAAATACTTGCTTTTCAATAAATGAACACATTATTGGAAATGTAATCATGCCACATTGTTGTGAACGACATGCTAGAAATGAATTCTTTTTTTTTTAAAAATTTTCTGTTTTGTCTTATTTCAATAAAAAGAAATATTATAAAGTTGATTGATTACCTTTACATTCTGTTTCAAGAAATTGAGGTGGGTCAGGCCATAAACGTTTACCTTCAACTAGACATTCTTCAAGCATTTTTCCTTCAGGTACACATGCATATATTCGTATATTTGGATTAATACGTTTAGCATATAGAGCAATACCACTTATTAAACCACCATCACTAACTGGAACTAATATAGCATCTAAATCAGATATTTGCTCCATTAATTCAACTGCAATAGTTCCTTGTCCTATTTTTTTTCAATTAAAAATTTTCTAATTAATTATCCTATAGAATTTTAATTACCAGCGATAACATCACAATGATCAGATGCTGGTACAACATAATACTCGCGTTCTTTAGCGATATCTAAACATATTGCTATATGACTTAATGGTGTCGATTCACATAGAACTATTTCAGCTCCATATTGTTTGATAGCATCAATCTTATTTTTCGGTGTATCATTACAAAGAACAACAATACATGGTCGTTGTACAAGTGACGCAGCATGAGCTACAGCTATACCATGATTTCCGGATGAATATGTAACAAAACCTTTTAGATTTGGTTCAATTTTCATTGCATTAAGAATTGTATTTAATGCACCACGACTTTTAAATGAACCCGTAAGTTGGAAATTTTCACATTTTAAATAAATATTTCGTCCAGTTAATTTATTTAATATTGAATTTGTTAGAACTGGTGTTATAGGAACTGAAATTGAACGTAAATGACTTGCTGCTATATGAATTTCAGCTAAACTTGGATTTAGTTTTACATTCATATTAAGCGAAAAAACGAAAAGCGAATATTTGATTATTATCGTTAATATTCTCGTCTCAATATCTTTACACCTACAAATCACATGGTTGAATAATAATAATAACAAAAGGAATGGGTAAAAAAAACCTGTATCCCTATGAATAATTACTAGTATAGACGAAAAGAAAATGTGTCATGGATATCACGTATACCTTCGAACAATAGTATAGAAAATAATTCATATGTATAAATATTTAATTTAAATTCATTTGTTAGAATATTTCGTTTATACAATATATTTATATGTATATATATATATATATTTTATATTCGATAGAAATAAAAAATACTTCAGCTTTCTTTTGTTTTCCGCTTTGAAAAAAAAGCACGCTCAAGCACAGACACATTAGCAGAAAAAAAAAGAAAGAGACAAAGACAGAGAAAAGAAAGAACAAAAAAAGGCAAAAGCGAAAAATTTTTAACAGTGGGCAGGTTGATACAGAAGACAAGAAGAGAGAAAAAAAATGAAAATTCAAATACAATGATACACACTCAATAACAACAAACAAAAATTAAAGAGAAAGATAGAAACGACAAATTTTATTATCCACAGTGCCGATTGACAACAAGAAAAATAAGAAGAATCAGTGATTGTGTACAATTATTGTTGTGTCCCATACCAAAAAATCACTGTACAAAAAAAAGGAAATAGAACCGAATCGACCATACTAAATAAAAATAATGCCTATAATTCTATTTTAATAATATATATGTCTTACAAGTTGTAACTGTTCTTGAGCAAATAATGCCGTTTGATGGAATTATTTTCTCGTTTGTTTATTAGTCGTATGTCTTGTACGACGATTGAAAAAACAACAGCATCTAAATAAATAAAATTTTATTGAATATTTTCTATATTTCGAAATTGAATTGTAAAGCTTAGGAGGTACTAAATGTATGTATTCTTTAGAAAAAAAAAATAGAAACTAAATCTTCTGCCTTATATTTTTAATCAAACCTACATGAATGATGAAAGCCATTTCTTCCAATATCTATAAAAATACAATTTTCCATTCAATTATTATAAATAGTCAAAAAAAAATGTTTATTTTTTTATTTATCTATCTCGAAATCTTACATTTGACTAGTCGAATATTCGTCATTCTTAAATAATTTTCCGCCAACAGTTTTACGCCTAGAATAAATATATAGATATTCATAAGCCTTTTTTGTTTTAGATGAAAATTCCTTCACCGCTTTCTCAAACAAACAAACTAGATTAATAATCAATCATTTTTTTTTCTTTTTGTACTTACTTTGTATCACTAATAACATCCGCATTAGGCAAAGTTGATGATGTGACAATATGTGCATGTTCTCGATCTCGACCGGTTCGTTCATTATCATCATCAGGAATATTAATTGGCTTTGAAAAAAAAGAAGAAAAGATTAAGATTGATTTGTTCCTTCAAATAGGAATTCTATAAATTAAAAAGAAGCAACAATAACCAACGACACCAATGATTAGAGAAAAACAAATCAATGGAGATCTATTCATTTATACAGACAAGAATATTTTTTTTCGAGGAAAAGAAAACACTTAAACTAGGTGAACAGACGAGATTTATTTCTATATATATACCTGCATTGAACCATGTACTTGTTGTGTTGATGCCGAAAGATGAGCATTTATAAAAGTTGTCTGAGAGGGAGGGAAAAAAATTCGTGTTTTTTTTTAGCTTTTGTCTTACTAATGAAATTTTTAAATATGTATTTTTTATTTACCTTATTCGTTGCTCGTGGTGTTGGACTGGATGGCATATCATTTGCTGGTGGATATTGAGATTTTCCAGTAGTACTCTAGTTAAATAAATATAATTAAACAAAAAAAAAGAAGATTGAAATTTATTTTCTATACTCTAGTTGCAGTCGGTTGCATTTTTTCTACCCAATCAAAATTATAATCACATGCATAATTACGTGAATCCAATAAATCTTTAAATAGTTTTCTAAGATATTCATACTAGAAACAAAAAAATAGAAAATAAAAATTTTTCTAATTAAATCTTAACTTACATTTGGAGTTTCAAAAAAATCCAAATTCCGAACATATTTTAAATATTTTGCAAATTCTTCTAAAAAAATATAATTTTTTTGTTGGAATAAGAAATAATCAAGATAAGAAAAATTTACCAGGTTGATTTTGACACAACACATCAATATGAGTTGCACGTTTCGTATCACCAATTTTTTGATAACGTTCTTTCAATGTTTCAGCTTTTAATCCTTGCCACTAATAAAAAGCAAAATAATTCTTATTTTTCTTCAATTAATATATGTGTGATGAAATTTGTTTCCGGTAACTTGATATGTCGTGATCGAAAGAAATATTATTTTACGATGTTCATACACGACATACAGTCTGTCACAAAAATAGCTGCATTATTCACACAAACTAATCGATTTATTATAAACAACAAGATTTTAAGTAAATATTATTTTAAAAGCTAATCAAAATATTTCCTTGAGAAAAAAAAAGATTCTATCTATTTAAACTTTACATACCGGTAAACTACCACGTAAAAAATACATAAACATGTGCCCCAATGCTTCAAGATCATCTCGACGACTTTGCTCTAAAATAAAAAAAATATAAAAATTAAAAAAAAAATATAAATTTAATTCACTTACCTTTCCCAAGATGAGTATTGATGCTCATATATCTTGCAGTACCTAAAATTGAATTTAGAATTATTTTTTAATAGAAAAAATTCAACATACCAGTTAAACTTTTATGTTCTCGGAATGGTATATGTCGACCAGTATCAGGATCAATATATTCTTTGGCTAAGCCAAAATCAATGATATGTATCAGATGTTGTTTTTTCGTAGAAGAACGTCCAATAAGAAAATTTTCGGGTTTAACACTGAAAACAAAATTTATTTTAAAACATGATTTTATTTTTTTCAAAATTAATTTACTCTCGATAAATAAGATTTTTTGAATGAACATATTCCATTCGACTAATCTGATAATTAAAGAAAAATATATATATATATATATATTTCATAAAATAAGATTTTAATACCAATTGTATTGCAAGCATAAGGACGGTTTTCAGTGAAAATTTTCGATCGCAAGTATCAAATAAATCTTCAAGTGATGGACCAAGTAATTCAATTACTAATGCATTATATTTACCACATGGTCCAAAATAATGTGCTTGTGGAACGCCTTCTACAAAATAAAATAAATATAAATAAAAATTTATTTTTATTATTGATTAACTAACCGCAAGCTCCAAGTTGTCGATAAAATCGATATTCAAGATGAAGTTGTGGTGCACGAGATTTCATCGGTTCCTATAAAATAATAAAATTTTATATTTAAATATAAAAATTTCTTTTTTTACTAGTTTAATTGCCACATGTTCATTATTATACAAATTTTTTCCTAGAAAATAAAATTATTTTAATTTTAAAAAATAAAAAAAATCAAGCATTGTTTTATTTATTTTACCTAATCGAATCTCTCCAAAATTTCCTGCACCAATTCGTTTTCCAACACGAAAATTTGGTCCAACCATAAGCATTGCATTGGGTCCTGAACTACTCGTAAGAGCCGCTGATGTCGATGTTGTTGTTGTTGTTTCATTCGATTTATCTGCTGTTATTAAATTATTATTATTAACACTTGTTGCTAAACCTGCACCTCGTCCTCCTGTACGTATATCACTTGGTACAATCGATACAGTTGATGCTTGAGGTGCAGCACCAGATAAATGATTTCCATGTTGTTTTAAATTATTATTATTATGATTTCCAGTTTCACTTTCGTCCATTCTTAACGAATAAAAGTAAGAAACAAAAGTGAAAACATCATAGATTCTAAAACAAAATATAAATAAATAATATTTTATTTCTTTAAAAATTAAAAAAAAAACTAAAGATCTGACAACAAACTAATGATTGTATCAAATTGACCATTGAAAGTTTTTGTTTTTATGATCAGAAAAGGAAAAAAAGGAATTGACTATAGATGGTGGTAGAGAAAATATTCCAAACGACATCTATTATATATGAATGACATTAGTTTTTGTTATTTAATGCTAAGCAACCATATAGATATGGAGATGTAAATGAAGGATAAAAGCATAAGAAAAAAAAAAAGTTAATTTACAAAACAAATAACAACAAACATCAACTTAAAGAATAGTGATTGAAAAAGAACAGAAGGTGTTCTTCAAGTTACATTTCTTTTCACTTCGTATATATCTACTTTGAATAATAATATATTTATTTTTTACAGATTATTTTTTAACAATATGATCGATAATATTAATAAATTATCATCAAATCTTGATGCAACTAAACAGCAACAACAGCAGCATACATCAGCATCATTAGCAAATTTAACTGATGATGGTAAGATATTCGAATAGAGACGAAATTTTTATTTATGACCTTGACAAGAAAGAAAATAATATTTTATAATTATAAAAAAATAATGATTTATTCTTTGTATTTTCCTGGATAATACAGATAATCAATATTTATTGATTTTCTCTTTACAAAAGAAACGAATTTTCATATATCTGTTACTCATAGCAACCGTCATCTGATTTAGTTTGAATAAAACCATAAAAATGACACTTATATTCATACGAATCAACATTTATTTACTTGGTTATAATAGAAAGAATCTTTTTCTTGGCACTTGACAATGTTGAATACATAAAAATGAAAGAAATTTCGTTTATAATGACTGAATTGTCAAGGGCTTATATTAGACTTAGACACATTTGTTTCATTTTTTAACAAAAGATTTACCCAATGAAATATTTGTTATTCATTCAGGCGATCACTAATTTTGCCGATAGTATTTTTTTTTGAAAATGTGAACATTGAATATGTTTAATAGGCATGTTTCTTTTGAATGGTAGTAATCGAGATATTTAAAATTTGTTGCCCTTAGTAGAATATATTTTGTAAAAGAAATTGAGGAAATTGATTTAAAAGGTTTTTATTTCGTACTCAACACAAGATTTACTAAATTGGACATTTTGTCACAAAATAGGACATTGATCTATTTTTATATATTCATTACGCATGAATAAATTCATATCCGTTACTGTCAATAATATATAAATATGCCAATTTATGTGCTTATCTGCTTCATTGAAGCAAAGTAAAATCTAGAAGAAAAAAACTTAGCTTATTATTTTTCTTTTACTTCCACTTGACATAACCTCTTGTATTTCATCTGAAGAAGATGCTAAAATCAACAAATCACTTAAAATGTAACAGGAAACGAACAAATTGACACTATCATTGAAAAAAAAACAATAAAGAATAAAATTTGTTTTAATTCTTAGATGTTGTTAAAATATGGGATGGAGTTTCAGCTTTTATCGAATCCTTTATGAAACAATCAAAAGTAAATTCTTTGGTTTTTGTTCCTATAGTTATTAATTAATCATTTTGCTAGGGAGTTGTAATTCCAGGTTTTGGTACATTTACATTTATACATAAACGTATTGATGTTGGAAATAATAAATATTTATTAATTCAACGGCCTATTTTTTCTTTTTCGGAAAAATTTACTCAAACACATGCATTAAAATTTACTCATTATCCAGTTAGTGGTTCGATTCCAGTACATCCATTAAATTATTTTTATATTCAAATGCAATCAACTTATACACGTGATCAAATTGAACAATGTGTTAAACATGTTTTACAAGTATTTAATCGTTCAGTAGCTGCACAACGTAATATTGAATTTACATTTTCACGTATTGGAAAATTACAAATACGTGATGGAAAAGTTAAAATGAGATTTTTTAAAGATTTTGTTGATGCTGTCGATGGTAGTGGAGGAAAACATCTGATTGATAACGGGTGCAATGTAAGAAAGAACTATTTTCTAGAAAACAAAAAATAATAAAATTTGAAAATTATTCAGAGACCACGAACATGTGATTCAGTTATGACCGAAAGAGAAGCATCTAGACCTGCAACTGCTTCCAATGTTGTTCTTCCACGGTAGTATAATTTGTTTGTTTTGTAATATAAAGTTATATATTTATATTTTATAGACTTAATAGCCGTATTGGTAATCCATCAATGCAAGCAATTCATGAAGAAAATCATACTGATAATGAACAACTTGCTCCCGAAGCAAAACAAATAAAACGAACACAACAACGAGGTAAAAATAAATAATTCAAAAAGACAACAAATACTAAGAAACATCATTTATATTCTAAAGATCCTCCTCGAAAATTACCACCTTTGATTGAAACATCTATAGGTACAAATCAATGTTAAATATATTTTGATTTTTTTTTTGTTTTTCGATATTACTAATTGATTGTTTTTTGATTTAAATGGAATTAAGAAGGAAAGAGTATATAATCAGTTTGATATATTGTTGAGAAAAGCTTTTTTGTTTATATTGACATTTAATAATGAAAAGTTTTTATTTATTAATATAAATATATTTACATTTAAATTTTTCAATTAGAACCAGCAATTTCTACAACAGTACAACCATCATTAAATGTAGTTACAACAACGAGAGTAGTAAATCCACAAGATGAATTTAATACTATTGCACCATTGATTTCACCATCGGATCTTGGTCAGTCATCTTCAACATCTTTAACAACAAAGAAACCATCGACACCCGCAGGTTCAATGAAACGAGCTGCTTCTTCCTATCAAAATGAACAAGATAATGAACAAACAACAAAGTAAGTTATTTCAAAACTTTCTCGAATTTGTATATATCTTACATACTAATAGTATATTTAAATAAAATTTATTTGTAGACAATTGTTAAATAGAATGTCAATAATAGGTGATATTATAATAGCTCGCTATTTGCTCAAATACTCTGATTTCTTTTAATTTATATGGATATATATATTGACAAATTTTGTATCTATTTAGTAATCAATCGAATGGTACAGTTATTCGAGCAACGAATGAAAATACTGCTGCACTTGGTTTTACTCGTCCATCGACAGATCGTAGTGTACGTGATCGTATATCATCATCATTAAATGTCTATTCTCAACATATAAATTCAATGACAATAGCAAAACCTATAACACCTTGTGGACATCATGGAGCTGGTCAAGAACTTTGTTATTTATGTCATCAACGTAGTAAACGTAATGTGCCTGTTTATTTAAATGAAGAAAGACGTATTCGTGATGCTGAAGAAACCAAATTACTTGAAATATATCGAGATAAATGTGATCTTGAAGCACAAAGAAAACAAGATGTATTTTTTAGCTAAAAAAATTTTTTTTTCTTCTTCATATATTTAAATATCTATAGGCTATTATACAAGCTAATCGAGAAGATAAACAACGAAATGCTGCTGTAAATAATTAAAATTAATTTTTAATAAAATAATTTTATATTTTAGTATAATTTGGGTATTGCCGAAGCAATGCGCGCTAGAAAAATGGAACGACCTAAAACAACTGATGTTGCAGTATGTAAAATTTCTTTTTTTGTTAATGTGAAAAAAAGAAAATATTTATATTATTAGCGTTCATTTGTATTTCGAAAACGTGTTCCAACTCCTCCAGCATATGTTCGTCAACAAGATTTAGCTAAACAATTAGATGCACAAATTAAATGGAAACAAGATGAAGAACGTGCAGAAAGACAAGATAAAAATTTAAGTGAACGTTTTGAACAAATGCAATTAGCTGAAGCGTATATTTCAAAAATCTAAAATTATTTTCATTTCTATTATTTGAATTCTATTTTAGTTTGGCACAAGAACGTGAATCATTTTTAAGAAATAAACGCCTTAATCAAGAAGAACTCAAAAATACTTTAGATAATCAAGTAAATTTTTATTTTTCCTTTTCGTTAAATTCTATTGTTAATTTAGGTTCGACATAAACCAAATGGAATTCCAGCTGTTGAAGAAGCTGCACCATTTTTCGGTGTTCAAGATATGTCAACAGAACAAGTACAAGAACGTCGCGCACACGCAATTGAAATCTTCCGAGAACAAAAAGAAATTGTTGAACAAAGACAACGACAACAATTACTTAAACAAATGCGTGAACAAGAATTTGAATCACGAGCATTAGATGCTGCTAAAGACGAGTATATATATTATACTTATTTTGTCTTTTTATTTTTCATTTTTCTATTAGTTTATTATCTGATCGTCGTGAACGTTTTCGTCGTGCATTTACAATACGTAAAGATCTTGAATCAAATTGGACAAATGCTATGGATGAAAAACGTGTACGTGATCAAGATGAACGAACACATGTATATGCACCTCAAGGCGTTCTTGTACATGAACAATGTGATCAATATAAACGTTGTGCTCAATGTCAACGTCAACCAAATAATTATGGTACTTCAAATATATGGAGAGATACACGATATGTGCCAGGAACACGTATAATGGTTTAAACAATTTTCTTAAAAACAATTTATCTTAGAACAAAATACACCCGGTTATCCTAATTAACAAAAAAAAAAAGAAAGAAACTTGAATATTTTGTTATCTTAAATTAGGATATTTTTTATGTACGTTTTTTTTCTCTTCTTCTCTTGAAACTATTCTGACGAATAAAATCACATACTGAATTTGACAATATGATCATTATATACCTGTCAAAAGAGTCAACATAAATTATTTAGAGTCATTCTCGTTGTTGAACATTATTATTACAATAAAATCAACTACATTGATTTATATATGCATACAAATGCATGTCAAATAGACATGAAATATGTACGCATCTGCATTTTTCTTTTTCTTTTTTTGTATGTTCAATAGTTTGTCTTTTCGTTCTTACGTAAATTGAGTGTAATAATGAAAAGAAAAGAAAAGAAGGTGATAATGGATCAACAAACTTGTCAAACTAAAGTTACGAATACATATATAAATCAAGCATGCAATAAGTATTTGATATATATGTATACACACTGTATTTTGAATAAATAAGGACGTTAAATAGTTTAATGGGCAATAAATATTGTATACACTCCGTAGTTGAGTTTTATTCATATGTGATCTAGAGATGGGACAAACACGCGACGGCACTCTATAGTAAGCAATAAAAGAGCCTTGACCTTGACTTGATAAAATATCAAACAAATCGTTCATGCTCGACCAATTAACACATCACAGAAGGTATGAACAAAAAATGAACAAGGAAAAACGTGAACTTTTGTATTTGGAAGTACGTAAGAGAAAAAGAAAGAAATGAGAAGCGAGAAGGGCGCAAGCACACTTGATTACACACAGGTTTGTCTGTTCTTTCGTACATCACCATATAACGGAGAAGACTTGTAATCATATGATGAAAGTTGCTTTTGCTTTTCGTCCATTTCCGGCCAGTTACAAACCAACATGTGATGCGAGTAAAGAAAAAAAATAATTTAAAATTTATTCAAACAGAGAATTTCATTAATATTAAATTTAGCTTTACCTGCTTCACCTTCTTGGCATCATCCTTTACAAACATCTTCATCTATTCCATATATAAGTACTTATCAACGACATGCAACTACAATTCATGTTAATGGTGTACCATATACAGTCATGCGTTTACTTGGTGAAGGACTTCATAGTCGAGTGTATGCCGCTTATGATTCTCGAACAAATAAATCCGTAGCAATTAAAGTTGTTCAAAATATTGATCCAGTTGATAGACATGAAAATTCGAAAATGTTTTTTAAAGAAATACGTTATTTAACAAAATTACAACCACGTAATCCATATGTTATTCGTGTTTATAATCATGAATATGATACGAAAACACAAACGGGTAAAATTGTTATGGAAAGTGGACATGATTTTCGTTTTATGTTACCATTACAAGTTTCACCGAAACAAAAAAAAATGTCTATACCACAAGCGAAATATTATTGGTCTCAAATGGTTGAAGCTGTTGCAATATTACATCGAAATGGAATTGTTCATTCAGGTAACAAAAAAAAGATTTGAACTTTTTCATTCTCTATCATTATTTCATAGATATTAAACCGGAAAATTTTATAATGACATCCGGTGATCAACTTCGTATTATTGATTTAGGTCTTTCTTTTCGTATTTCACCATCGCAAACATCAATATTAAGACCATTTGCAGGTAGCAAAATATTTTCTTTCAAGAATTTTATCTTAAAAAAAATTATTAAAAGGTACACCTGAATATATGCCACCAGAAGTATGTCAGATACAAAATGGTCGTTATTCTCGTCAAGGTCGTGCATCAGATATATGGGCACTTGGTTCGTATTTTATATAAATTAAAAAATAAAATAAATTTTTTTTATTTTCTAGGTGTTCTTCTTTTTGAAATGGTCTTTGGTTATCGACCATTCGAACATATACAAGATAATTTTGATAAAATGTCATATATTGCCCGACTAACACAAAGTCCAGTCATTCCATCAACAAACAATTCTCATCTACGTGATATTCTTCAGCAATGTTTGCAAATAAATCCAATTGATCGTCCTAGTGCTCAACAATTATTACAACATCCTTTTCTTAATATTTAAACTAATCTCGAAAAAGAATTCATTAAATCATGTTTTAATTGTTGATCTTTTTCTTCGTCCTCTTCATTCCATTTACTAATTTTTAATAAAGAAAATTTTCGTACTTGATGTACGTTATAGATAATTTTTCTATATTTTGTAAATAAAAATATTCATTCATCCATATAATAATAGTCAATTCTAGAGGATTTATAGTATTCATCTATTAATTACTATGATATATGTTGCCGCTTTTGATCAATAAGTATATCAACTACTTTACTTTATAACATCGTTTTCATTTATATGTGAATCATTAAATGCATGTGTGGTATGGTGTTCATCACCGACACCTACCATATGATTACCCACATCAATCAAATCATAATTAGATTTTGTTTTATCATTAGGATTGAAAATAAACTAAGATAAATTTAAATCACGCAATGAACAATCGATTTTTATCACAATAATAGCGTGTATAATTAAATCATTTTAATTGTACAATTAATATTTTCGATCAAAGTTGGTGGTTTATATTATTTAAAAATATCATAAATCAGATAATTGTTTTTTGTTGTAAAATATTCGAAATAATCTATTAAAGTTGTTGCTCATTTTTTTTTTCAATAGATAATGTATTCGTATAATCAAAATCAACATGTTCATCAAGATAATAATTTTGACTGTTGTTCATAATTGAGTTTAAGTATAGAAGAATATGTATTACATTTTTTTTATATAGTAATATCAATGTATACGACATAATAGATAGAACACTAACAAAATCGAAAGGCCAGTAATTTGTTTTTTTCATGTGTCTCATCGTTGAAAGAAAAGGTCAAAGGTGTCTTTTAATGCACTTTGTTTGTTTGAGTGGGAAGTTCGGTATGAGTGGGTGTATGTCTGTATTATGATCCACTAATAACCGCACCTACACTCTAAAGGTAGGAGTAACTATCCATATTATACATACTTTTTTGGATGATTAATTATCTAACAAACGTGGAGGTTTGATTATTAAATATCTGTTCCTATGCAGAGGCATAAATGTGCAATCAAGCATCATATATGTATATATATATAGGTTGATATTTGTTTACGCTTGTATTTCTAATTGACGCATATAGTAAGAAAAACATTAAAGTATGGATAAAGACGGTATGTATATATAGATATTCTGAAAAATGAAAACTATCTATTTCTTATATTGTCTAATTAGAATCACACTCAGATGAACATAATGGAATTCCATCAATGGATGGTGACAATCAAGATATTCTAGATGCTATCTATGCAAAAATGGATCCAGCATCACTATTACAAACTAGCTTCACTGATCGTGACCAATTACGATGTGAAACAAGATAACCAATAAACGTTTTTGTTTTTTTTTCTTGAAATGTTTACATTATTTTAAATTAAATTCGAAAAACAAAATAAAAACAAAAGGAATTGTATTTTCGTCTGTTGTCTTCAAATTCGAAAGACATGTTCATCTTGTTGTGATGATACATTTGATATTGATGATGGTGGACGATCAACATTAAGTACAAGATCTGTACAACTATTAATAACAGGTAATTCTCGTAGATCAGCTGCTGTTTGAGATGAATTATCATTTTGATTCTGTACGAATGATGGTGAACGACGTGAAAATGTATTATTTGCTTTATCAGTTGTTTGTACAAATGATGATTGAATTGTTGATGATGCTATTGATGTTGTATCATCAACAATAACATCTTCAAGATTAGCAATAGAATTATCTCGTTGTTTACTAGCAAAACGTAGAAAAACCTAGAAATAAAATATAAATAAAAATATTTTCTTTCCATAGAAATATATTCCTACATGTTCAAGTGTAGTTTGAGAAAGTGAATAATCGATAACATTCATTAATGTTTTATTTGTTTCAATAAAACCAAATATTTTCGATAATGAATGGGATTTATTGATATTATATTCTAATCGTGTACCATGTCTTTCCTAAATACAGATCATTTAAATTTTATTTGAAGAATTTCAAATACAAACCGTCATATGTGAATCTGGAAGATATTGTTGAATTATATCCGATGCGATTTGTATCGATGTTTCATCTTCAAGACGTAATTTTAAATAATAACCAGTACCAAAACGATGTTTTAAATGTTGTGGTGTACCAAAACATTTAAATTGTCCATTAACCATAATTGCTAATCGGGAACATAATACATCACATTCAGTCATTGAATGTGATGTTAATAAAATAGCCTTGTCTTGTTTTTTAGCTTTAATTATATTATTCCAAACTATACGACGATTTCCAGGATCTAAAAGAAAAAATTAATAAAAATAAACAATTCTTTTTTATGTTATTCTTCTATTTACCCATTCCATTTGTTGGTTCATCCTAAATACAAATACAATTTTTCTATATGTATTAAAATACAAATTAAACTTACTAATAAAATTAAATCTGGTTGTCCTAACATCGCTAAAGCGACTGATAATTTTCTAAAAGAATTTCGAAATTTATTTTAAATAATATTTTTTTTTATTATTTTACCTTCTCATTCCTCCACTATAAGTTCGAATAACCCGATTAGCATATGATTCCATATGAAATTTTCTTAAAGTTAAATTAACAACATGTTCACGATCAGTTATACCAATTAATTTTGCATAGCACATAAGTGCTTCACGACTAGTTAAATAACCATCAACAGCATCAAATTGTGGACAATAACCAATTGAACCTGGATGTTCACGAGCTTGATTACGAATTTGTTTTTCATATAGAAGACAATCGCCACTTGTTGGATGAACATCACCTAAGAAAATAAAAATATTTACATATTTGTTTTTGTTAAATAAATTTTGTCATACCGGTGATCATTTTAAATGTTGTTGTTTTACCCTAATTAAAATAGATTTTGATAGAATTTCTAATCAATAAACTTACTGCTCCATTAATTCCAAGTAAACCAAAACATTGACCTTTCGATATACCAAAACATAAATGATCAACTGCTAATAATGATTGACCAGTTGTACGTCGAAAAAATTTGGTTAAATTTTTTGCTTGTAATATATCTTGATTTGATTCATTCGAATGTAATATTCGATGTCGTTCTTCCATAACATCTTTATCAACAGCTGTTTCTGGTGGTGGAACCTATAACATGAATTATTTTATATACTTAAATTTTTTTCTAATTTAATTACTTTGTAGAAAATATTTGGTAATCGAATATCTAAATCAAGTACATATGTCATTATTAATGCCAATACACCAACTACAATCATTGCGATAATTCGATCACCGACAAGTGTCATTGAAAATGGATTTACATAAAGATCAGCATCGACTGTAAGACCAAAATCAGCCATCAATTCATTACGCATTAAATGAACAAGTCCGGAACCAAGACAATAGGGTGGAAATATAAGAAAAATACGTGATAAAATTGTTTGAACACGTACAATACCAGGTACCCATGCATATAATGTTAACATTAAATCTGCTATACATGTTAATATTCCCGAAAACATCCAAATACAGAATGAAGCCATAAATGCTGTACCAGTATCTTTAAAAAGACGGACAATACAATAAACTAACGGTATTGATGACCATCCATAAAGAAATAATAAACAAAATATGGCTCGAGTTGTCATTACACGTGAATTGAATGCCGATATATTAAATATTTTAATTAAGGCAATTGTTAAACTTATTAAAATCATATAATAAACTAAATCCCAAATAAATGTTGATAACCAATATACTAAAATAAATAATCGAAATATTTTTTTTGTTAATTTTAATCAAATTATTTACCTAAAGGTTTTACACCACAAATAAATATTAAACGTTTTTCTTGTGTTACATATTCACGTACAAGATAAAGAATAACAGCAGCGGGTACAAATGAATATGCACATAGAATAGTTATTGCAACACCAAAATCTGATATACGTTGCTCAAGAGATTGTTGAGATAATAAATCACTATTTAATGTAAATGGATGACTATAAGTTGATATACCAAATTTTGCAGCTGTTTTTGGATCAGCAATTTTTGAACGAAGAATTAAATTATTCATTACATTTAAATATGATGGTAATGCATGATAACCTTAAAAAGCCAAAAAAATAATTTTTTCATTATAAATTTTTATTAAAATACCTTTATTATTAAACCAAACTAATGCATGACTTCGATTATGATAATCATCTTCAATTTGTTCACCAAATGTTAACCCACCATATCTATACAACGAAAAAAATCATTTGTTATATGTCATACGATGTATATAAGAAATAGTAAAGCATACCGATTATCAGTAAATGCATGATGACTTTTAAGTAAATATTCATTCAATGGAAAATTATTTAAATCATATAACTAAAAATATAATATAGAAATTTTATTATTAAAATCGTTGAAACATACCACAATGCCGGATTTGGTTTTTCGCGTTGGTGGTCGTCCAAAAGAATCCGCTGGACAAATCTAAGGAGAAATAGATAGTGGAAATTAATAAAAAGATAATAATATTACTTGTAATGCTTTTGTAAAACATTCCGAACAACGTGCACCCTGATTATACTCAGTTGAATCCGGTGGTTCATAGAAATTTTTATCATCTTCACCGCATTTATATGGATCTGTAGTTGATGCTGGAGGTGCATCGATCATACATGTTGTACCAATATTCGGAAATGAACTATTTCTCAAACGATCATCAAGATGTCGTGCTATTGGATCATTACTATTGAATAACCTATAATAATAAAATAGAGTTTTTAAAAATAAATATCCATATTTTTTGTTCAAGAATAAATATAAATTTCAAAACCGGAACATGAAAAAAAAAATATACGAAAAATTTCTTTTGTGTAGCGCGTAACCGAATTAAAACGATGTGTTAAAAAAAAGAGAAATAATGCGAAACTTATAGAACGAAAAAAACAAAATGAACGATTTTTTTATTAATTAATATTGTATTTGTTCACGTTTTCATTTCTTCACCATTGTTTATTATTTTCTTTGTTGATAGACAAGTACATAAGCTGCTTTACTTATAACATCGTTTTCATTTACGTCTGAAACATATGAATCATCAAATGTATGCCATTTTTGATCGTTATGATTTTTTGCATGTGCTGTATAATGTCCGCCACCTAAATTTCCCATATGATTACTCACACCAATTAAATCATATTTCGCTTTTAGTTTTTCATCTGGATTTAAAACAAACGGTGATAAATCTAAATCACGTAATGGACAGTCGATTAATAAATCAATTTTATCACGAAAATAACGTGTATAATTAAATCGTTTTAATTGTACAATTAATATTTTAGGTAAAAGCCAAAGATCGATTTTTTTTGTAGCTTTTTTTAATTGTTTACAATCGGGACAATACCATAGATCATCATCTGATAATGTTTCTTTTGATGTAAAATATCCGAAACAATCCAATAAACTTGTTGACGAACGTTTTCCTTCTTGATTACGTTTTTCTTGTATCTTACGTTTCTCTTCTTCGGCACGTTTTTCTTCCTTATCAAGTTTTTCTTTTTCTTGTTTTTTATATTCATCAGCAACTGATTGTGAAACATCAACAACAACTGATGCAGTTGTACGACTGAAATCAATGATTTCATCAGCGATCGATGATAATAATTTTGTTTGTTGATTATGATAATTTGTATTAAGAACACAAGAACCAGTATACGATGGTTGTTTATCTGATGAATCACTTGAAGATATTGGAAGAAAATCATTAATTCTTTTCTATATAATAAATAATATAAAAATTAAGAATAAAAATTAACTTTTTATTACTTGTAAAGATTCTTGAATATCTTTTCCAGTACATTTTTGTCTTGGTACAGTCAAATAAATTGGTATACCAAAATTTTGACGAGAGTTACTTTCTCGAAAAACACATGGCATTAGGATATTTCCATGAGTACCATTTTTCAATGAATCAGCTGTTTCATAGAAAACAATTTGATCACGTTCCATGATACTTGTTAAATTTGCATTGTCTGCATATTGTAGATGAATTCGATGATTATAAACTTCAGCAGGTAAGATATAATCTTTTCTTGGTTGATGTCCATCATAATCTTCTGCTTTTGTAAAATCTTCTTCGATTTCTTTCTCTTCCTCATCAAGTTTAGGTCCCTTCTGATCAGTATCCATAGGTTCTTCTTCTTCATGATTTGATTTATCTTGTGGTTGAAAACGATCACAAAATACTTGAATTAAATTATTCATTTTACCATGTTCATCCGATTTGACATAGTAAGTTTTAATTATTCCATTTAATCGAACATAATCTATTTTAAATGTTCGTATTTTTTTCTTATGTGGTAATGGTAAACTTAGAAAACAAATTGGATCAAATGTACGTCCTTTTGTTTTACATGTAAGACATTGTACAACTGATTTAATTTGTCCATGAAATATATCATGAATTTTTGATTGATTTCGTTTTCGATAAGATTCCCATTCATGATTAGCTAATGTTGTATCATCAAGAGTTCCATCATCATCTTGTTTTTGTACATATGGTTTTTGTTTAATAAGATTTAAATCTTCATGTAAACCATCAAGTAAAAATGACATAAATTCTTGTGAATCTTGTTGTGCATAACCACTAAATTGTGGTGCATAACGTGCAACACTGTGTTTTAAAGATTTTGGTGCACAAAAATTTGTTTTTCCTGACCACATTTCATAGACAAGTTCACCATATGCTTGAGCAACATCACCTTTCATACCTAAGGGATTATCTTTATTAATATGTTGTTTATATTCTTGACTAAGAAAATATTCTGTTAATGCTGGAATATTTGATAAACATTGTAAAGCTGAATTCATAAAACATGTGTTACCTAAATTTGATAAACCACAAAGTCCAGGAATATAAGATGTTTTGGATAAACAAGCACTTCGTGTTGCTAATGATCTCGATTCATAAGTGATATATGCATTTTTTATTATATCACAATCTTCAATAACTGCGCCATTTGCTTCATCAATGATTTCCCAATTTAAACCTTTTTCATCCTTAGATGAATATAAATAGTAATTTGAATTTAATGGAGTGCGAAATTCTCTAATAAAGTCAGTTTTCAAATCTAGTAATCTTGCTTGACGGCTACGATAGATTTGTTTTGTTTTTGCAGAAGGAGATCTTGATTCACGAAGACGTAATGGTACTAAAAATGTTTCAACAACGACGCTATAACCTTGATGAATTGCTTTTCGAGTTATAGCAGGACCAATTTTTTTATGTGTATCTAATAGTTTCTTATAAAGTTTTTCAGGAATAAAACTGTAATCATTTCCTTCGACAGCATCTGAACGAAGTTGAATATGTTCTTTCGCATCTGTTTCTGATGGATCGATTAACTTTGTAAAGTCCATTGGACCCGGATCAGTTACATCCTGTTCATCTGATTTTTCAATACCAACAAAACGTTTCCAATGTTCAAACCATTTAGCATCAATAATCACCCACGTATCACCAATTAGTGGTTCTTGCGAAAGCAATTTTTTATATTGTTCTAACTGATCCGATGACATAATAATATTTTTATTTTTACTTGTTTTACAAAAATACGGTATACCGGTAATGTAGAAAAGGAAGATTGCAAAACAAAGATGCAAAAAGGAAAATTTCGAAGAAATGACTCACTCACACGGTAACTAAGTGAGTCGCAGTGCGTTTTTCTTTTATGTGGACACAAGCAACGTTTAGTTAAAGAACGGATGAAAAATCCAACCGCAAATATTTGTCTAATGTAGCAAACGTTACTCATAGTCAGCAGGGCAATAGGCGTCAGACAACTTGAATTTTATCATCGAATCATTATTGCAAGAAAAAAAATTTTTTTATTCAAAATGATTTAGTTTTCATAAAAAATTCTACTAGCTATTATTCATAATCAATTCTATACTCGAACATGATTATAGTATATATATAGAAAGAGAGAAAAGAATAAAAGAAAAAATAAATTCTGTTAACGAGATGCATAGATGACTCGCGATTGGTATTTTATGGAACGAAGAAGAAGTAATGCAATATTTTGTTGTCTTTTCTTTACTTTGCTCATTCAATCTCATCATCATCTTATCATTCAAGTAGATAAACGATGATCGGAGGTGTTTTTATCTATAATCACAAAGGAGAAGTTCTTATTTCGGTAAATAAATTGAATTTTGTTTTGTTTTTTTTTCAAATATAAAATTATATTTTTTATTTGAAATTCGTAGCGTGTCTATCGTGATGATATTGGTCGGAATGCAGTTGATGCATTTCGTGTTAATGTTATTCATGCACGACAACAATCACGTTTTCCAGTTGTTAATATAGCTCGAACAAGTTTTTTTTATACAAAACGTTCAAATATATGGTTATGTGCTGTAGCAAAACAAAATATTAATGCTGCAATGGTATTTGAATTTTTAAATAAAATGATCGATATAATGCAATCATATTTTGGTAAAATAAGCGAAGAAAATGTTAAAAATAATTTTGTTTTAATCTATGAATTATTGGATGAAATACTTGATTTTGGTTATCCACAAAATAGTGATGCAGGTGTATTAAAATCTTTTATAACACAACAAGGTGTTCGTCCAGTTACACGTGAGGAACAAACTAATGTTACATCAGCTGTAACTGGACAAATTGGTTGGCGACGTGAAGGTATTAAATATCGTCGAAATGAATTATTTCTTGATGTTATTGAATCAGTTAATTTATTAATGTCTCAACAAGGTCAAGTTTTAAGTACACATGTTGCCGGTCGTGTCGCAATGAAAAGTTATTTATCGGGTATGCCTGAATGTAAATTTGGTATAAATGATAAAATAACAGTTGAAAATCGTACAAAAAATCCAGGTGATTCAACAAATCCAACGAATAATTCAACAGCAAATAATTCAACAAATCCAACAACAACAACGACGGCGGCAACAACAAAAACAGCTATTGCAATTGATGATTGTCAATTTCATCAATGTGTTAAATTATCAAAATTTGAATCTGAACATTCAATTTCATTTATTCCACCTGATGGAGAATTTGAATTAATGCGTTATCGTACAACAAAAGATATTAGTTTACCATTTCGTGTTATACCATTAGTAAGAGAAATAGGTCGAACAAAAATGGAAGTTAAAGTTGTTGTTAAATCAAATTTTAAACCAACACTTATTGGACAAAAAATTGAAATACGTATACCAATTCCACCAAATACATGTGATGTACAATTATTATGTATGAAAGGTAAAGCAAAACATAAATCATCAGATAATGCTATTGTATGGAAAATGAAACGAATGGGTGGAATGAAAGAATCACAATTAAGTGCAGAAATTGAATTAACACCAAATGATAAGAAAAAATGGAATCGTCCACCTATATCAATGAGTTTTGAAGTACCATTTGCACCATCAGGTTTTAAAGTTCGATATCTCAAAGTCTTCGAACATAAACTTAATTATTCGGATTCGGAAACAATTAAATGGGTACGATATATCGGTAAAAGTGGTTTATATGAAACACGAAGTTAATAATCAAAAACAAACAAACAAACAAAAAAAAATTATTTTTTATTGTGCAATTCAGTGTTGTTGTTAATTACTCCCTTTATATTTCAATCAATAGACAAATTCATTCCGTGGTTTTCTTTTTCTATGTCTTATTCCTCTTCTTAGTCGATCTCTTCTCTCACCTTTCTATGTAATTTTCTTTCACTATTTATAAGAAATATATATATATATACATGTATGTATAACTTACTTTACAAACATTGCTGATTGTTCATACATAGCGGGTGTTAATAACCATGGTCTTTGAAAAACTTGTGATGGACGTACTAATGTAAAACCCATTGACATAGCCACAAATAATAATGGTAGAAGAATATGTGAAAGAAAAACTTTCCAATTTCGTTTTGTATGATGAAAACGTTTTAATAATAACGTTTGAAATTGATGAAAATATAATTTACGACCAGTTATTCGTACAGGTTTTGTTAGAGGTGCAAGAGTTATATTTGATATGGTTGGTAATTGAGCAGTACTACTACTAATTGTTGAAATACCTTAATAAGATAAAGATGAGATAATCTATTTTTAGTTGTTTATAAAATAGGAATATTTTCTTAACTAATGGAATTTCCGATTTTCCTTCAGGACATTTTTTTTATATAATAAAAGCAATATATATATATATATATATTAGTAATTCAGTAATGATGAATGTTATGTCAAAATTTTGATATATTCAGATTTATAGACTTCATTGATTTTATGAGAATAATTTTAGATAAAGTCTGTAACATACCATCTAATGTTGCATTTGATTCTCCACCAAGACCACTATCATCACTATTAGCTGATGAAATTGGTGTTTGTTCAATAATTATTTTCGGGACAGATGAATTATCACATGAATCATCCATTTTGCCTTGATCTGCTAATTCTGTAACCCATAAAAATACCTAAAAAATAATTTTTATCTTTTTAATTATTTTTTTCTTGGCTAAATAAAAACTAACTTCTTCAAGTGTTGTATCTGATAAACCATAATTTCCAATAGCTAAACGTTCTTTATTAATTTCAAGTTGTTTAAATAATCGTTCAAATTTATGTCGTAATTCATGTTTAAATGAATATGTGATTTCACTTCCAATATGTTCTCGAAGTGTTGCATCAGGCATTTCTTGTAATATAAATCCATTAACATCTTTGAATTGTTTACTTTCTTTTAAAAGAAAAAAATTCATTTAAATTAATTAATTATAATATTATTTTTACTTACCAACAAGTTTGATTTTATTATTTACTTTAAGTTTTAAATCAATTGTTAAACTATAACCTTTACCAAAACGTTTTTTTAAAAACATGGACGAACCACTACATAATAATCGGCCTTGATGTATAATAGCAATTCGATCACTTAACGTATCCGCTTCATCGAGATAATGTGTTGTTAATAAGATCGTTCTTCCAGCTCTATGTTTAAATATAACTTCCCATATACTTCTTCTTGCACATGGATCAACGCCTGATGTTGGTTCATCGAGAATAACTGTTCGTGAACCAGCTACAAATGCAATACTAACGGAGACTCTTCGTCTTACACCACCAGATAATGATGAAACACGTTCATGTTGAAAACACCATAAACCCATACTACTTAAAAGTCTAATTAATAAAAAAAAGAAAAGATATTGAATAAATTATTTTAATTAAAACATACTCATTTATATCTCGATCTAATTCTTTTGAACTCATATTTCCTTTTAAACGTCCATAAAATTGTAAATGTTCTCGAACAGTCATAAAATCAAATAGAATATCTTCTTGTGGACATAGACCAACATTTTTTCTTATTTGTTCATAATCTGTTGTTATATCTCGTCCATAAATACTTGCTGTACCATTTGTTGGTGGATAAATTCCAGTTAAAACATTAATTGTTGTTGTCTATAACGAAAAAATTAGAAATTATTATTCTAAGATATATTTTCGTACTTTTCCAGCCCCATTATGTCCAAGTAATGCTGTTATTTGATTTTCAAAAAGTTTGAATGATAAATTTTCTACCGCTTTTTTATTTTCTCCATAATGTTTCGATAAATTTTCGAATGAAATTCCAACTGGTAAATGTGTTGGTTCTTGTTCATTATTTGGATCAATTTCTATAAGAATATTCAAATTAAACAAAAAATACAAATTGTTTTTAGTCTATCTTACGTTTCATTCGAGCAGTAAATGGATTTGGTTGATGATCACGATCAATACGAAATGCTGAATTTAAATCATCATGTGGACTTGTTTTTTTCTTACAGAAACACCATGTTGATGGTAAAAATGGATACCATAATGGTTTTCTACGTGCATTTTTACCCGGTAATACCGAACGAATATATTTTCCGATAAGACCATAAATAATCGAATCCACTAACATCATTATACATGCAATACCAAAATTCATTTGATCCTTAGGAAATATACTATGAAAAACTGAATTCCATTGAATGCCTTCACCTTGATATTCAAAACGAGTTAAATATATAGATGCATATCCAAATGCTGTCGCACTGGATAAACTCTATTTTAAAAAGAAAAAAAAGATAAAGAAATATTTTTTTTTGCTGAAACGTACGATTAATAATTTATGAATTAATTGTATTTTTGTTTCAAGAAACATGACAAGAATAAATGGAAGATACGAAATAAAATAGATCAATATTCCACATAATGTAGCTAAATTTGCTTTTTTGAAAAATGAACTGACTAAATACCTAAAAGATTAATAATAATATTAAAAAGTAGAATTTAGATCATAGTCATATGATCAATTTAATTCAGTCGTATTCTACTTAGTGGCGGCGCCAAGGGTGGGCTCATCCCACCCAGAAATGTTTTTCAGATCTTACATATATAATGCTGAACCCACCTTAGTCTAAATTCCTGGCACCGCCACCAATTCTACTCTCAAAAAAACAAATTTTGTACAAACCCAAGCATTAATGCTGAAATAGCAAGAGTAAGTAATGGTGTGATTGTTACAGTTAAATCCGATGCTGGAAAAATTCCACCATATTTAAGAACGACTAAAAGATTTTCATTTAAAAAAAAGAAAAATTTTAATTCTTTGATTCATACTAGCAACAACAATCGATACAACAATCATCGGTATACATGAACTAATTAACCAAGTAATAAAATTTATCGTTGAATTAAGTCCCATAATTTGCATCACCTAATATAATAAAAACTTAAGTTTTCATAGAAATAAAAATCTTTATAAATACTTGTTCAACATTTCTTTCACGTTCACGCATTAAATTTTTTATTGATACACCCAATGTTGCTAAAGATATGAATAATAAAAAAAATATTATTTAATTTTATGTTTACCTGTCCACATTAATGTACCCAAAATTGGTAAAATAAAATAATTAACATAAGATGATTCTTTTCCACTAAATTAAATAAATATTAATTACGGAAAAAAAATCAATATCTCAACATACGGATCACCACGATAACATGGATATGGCATTAATTGCATATAAACAACAGGATTTGTTGATACTTTTTCTGTATCTTCAAAATGTAAATCAATAATTGCACGTTCAATTAAATCTTGTATTTGTATAAATCCTCGTAAATAATGCATTTCACGAAAATAATCATTTTCAGGTCCAGGAAAAAATAACCAACTTGCTAATTGTTCGGTTGTTCGAACACTATCAACATCCATACGAATTTTAATATGAACATGTGGTGGAAGAAAATTAGCATTTGGATTTGAACTATTTAAATTCGAGAAAACAATTCCTAAACAAATAGAAAATAAATATACAACTTTTTTGCCAAAGAAATTTCTTTACCAGCAATAACTAATCGATTTCGATGTAATTCTTTTGCACGTTCAACAAGTTCACTTTCTGATTGAAGTGCTTCAAAACGATTTAATTCAATACATGGTAAATAATCACTAAATTGTTTCATAATAACTTCAATATTCTTTAAAACATCAACATTAGGTTCACCATTTAAATTATCTAACATTGATATTATTGATTTAATATCAAATGTATTCATTCCAACTATATTAGTAAATAATTCTTGAAAAAACTGATTTGCAAAAACTTTCTAAAAACACAAAATATTTCAAAATTAGTCAAAAAATGCAAAATTTATTTTACTTTGATATTATTGGTATTTTTTAAATCACCTAAGACAGCAGTTAAATTAAGTGGAGAATTTACCCAACTTTTTGCAAATTGATGAATTTTATCTAATTCTTCGAATGTTTTGTTTACTTTTGCAATAATTGCATTAGAAACTGGTGTTGCAGGTGCATATAAAATTTTTCCAAGTAGTAATGGTTTAATTAATGGCCAAACAATATATCCGACATCACTACTTTGTTCAATACTTCGTCGTATATCTGAACAATCAGCTTTTTCATCTAAAAAACATTAAGATAAAAGAAAATGATGTTAAAATTCAATGATTTTTTTAACCTGGTTCAATTGTTTCTGAAGCTCGTTGATTTATTAATGGATCTGTTTCATTGATTTTCTTTACTCCATCTTTATTTTCTTCAACATGATATTCTTCATCATCGAAAACTTGTCTTTGTGGATTCGATGGTTTATCAATTTCAGCACAAAATATATTTGTTATTTTTGCAAATTGATCTTGATCTAAAGACTTAATTTTAAAAACAGCAAAATTCGTTTTTTTGTCTATTTACTTTCAGATGTATCACTTTGTTGATTTAATCTTTTAACACGTTTTAATAATTCATTCACATCATTTACGATAGGACCAACTTGTTTGAAAACATCAATTTCATTTTCATTCATATTAATTAATTCAACGATATAACTACCACCACGGTCAAAAAACTATAAAGAAAATAAAAGAAAATGAATCAGTGATTTATCTAGCGGGAGGGTAGTGATGGCGGCGCACTCCCGGAGACCGATTTTGCTCTCCTGAAAATTGCAATTTTTGTGCTTATACCAAGCCCGTAGCCAGGAATTTTCCAAGAGGGGTGCACATCAGTAGGAAAATAATTTTTGCTTCATGAATAAAATTTTTATCCGTCCCCCCCGCCCTTTCAAGGTTTTTTTCGCCAAAGGGGGTACCGGTAACCCTATTCCCCCCCCCCCCCCCCCCCTTGGCTACGGGCCTGGCTTATACTATGTATTTTTTCTCCAGAAATTAGTTTTTCGTCCTCCCGGAAATCGCTATCGTACTCTCGAAAGGAATAAATTCAAGATATTTTATCTTTCTTACCAGTCGTAATTTCTCAGGTACGAGAAAATGTTTCAGCAGTGTTTTAACAATATTAGTTTGATTTTCTAATGACATATCACATAAATATTTTGATAATTTTGTTATATCAAAATTTTGATTAAATTGTAAATAGGGCCAAGTTTTAAAAATTGTTTCATTGAATTTATCAACATTACATACTGTTTGATGATAGTCAGTATATAAATTAAATAAAATCTACAACGAAATTAAGTGAATATAAAAGAATCATTAAAAAAACTTACACTTGGATCTTTGAATAAACGAGCTTGGTTTAAAAGTTGAATTGTTGAATAAGGAAAACCATAATTTTGCATTAATTTATTTGTAACAAATGTAAAATTTTTGAATGTATCTTTTACTGGTACTATAAACAAAAAATAGAAATGATCTAATTAAAATTCTCAATTTTACTTACATCCATTTAAATTCTCTTGTATGATAATACTCAATTCATGTACTGTTTGTAACCCATCAATAATCGATAGAATCATTTTTTGCATTGATTCATCTGGTAATGCCCAAAAATATTTCTCAACAAGATTTGAAACACTAGAAAAAAATATTTACTTAATATTTCATATTATAATCTTCGTTTTTTTTACTTTAATCGTAATTTTTCAAATTCCGGAAGATGAGTTGTAAAATTTGTAAATAGATTATAAATTTCAATGGGTGATATTTGGTCTGTATTAATTCCATTGATAAGTTCCATGACCCATTCATGTTCTTTAATTAAATCTTCAAAATCATTTTTTATCATTGGCATTTCATTCATCAAACGTTCCACATTTAAACCATTGAATTTCTTTAAAAATAAAGAAATTTTAAACTATAAAAAAGATATACAAATCTTACTCGTAATTGAAGTGGTCCACCATATTGATCCATAAATTGTTGATAAGTTTGATTATATTTTAATTCACTAATACATAAATTCCATTCGATTGTATCAGGTGTATCATGAAATGCAATAATATAATTGACAATTTGTTTTTGATCACAAAATATATCTCTTAAATCACTTGCTGATTTTAATTCACTCTTTAATTAATAAGAAAAATAAAATAATATAAGAGAGAACAAAATTCTTACCAATCTTGTGTTGAAATACCATTGATTTAATGATGTTATATTTCGATATTGTTGTAAAAATGTCGTAAAATTATTTGCATGTTCAATCATATCATTTATTTGAACAAATTTATATGTTTGTTGAGAAAATACTGGTGCAAATATTTGTATTAATGGTGTTAATTGTTTAATAGATTGTATGATTGACATATCACTAAATATAAAACGAACTAAACCAGGTAAAATTTTTAAACGTTCAAGTGTTTGAAATAAAGTTTGTTTTAAACAATCAAGTGTGTCAAGTGTTATAGTATTATGTTGCATAATTTGTGCTAAATTTTGATAAACTTGAATATTTTTAACAACATCAACAATTAATGAACAACTAAATTTTGATTGGAAACCATTTTGTATCAATTCACGAATCTCAAAAGAAAAATATGAAAATAAAAATTCGTTTTTTTTTTTATAAATTTTCTTTTTACCAATCCAACTGTTTTGTTTAAACGAAGAAATTGAGATATTTCAGCATAATCACTATTTGGATCTTGTAAACAACGTATACGATTTGTTGATGTTATTATAGACATGAATGTATTTACTAATTCAAATACACGTCCAACACCAAATATATAATTAAGAACTGGATCATTGGGAATTAAATTAACTAATGGTTCTATACAAAGAAATTCGAGAGCTTCAGGAGAAAATGAATTGAACATTTTAACAAAATCAGGAATATTAGCTAACGGAGAATCAGAAGAATCCGATTGTTTTGCTTGACCAAGTAGACCAGATATAAAATCAAGTTGCTAAAACAGCAAAGAGATAATTTAGTTAATGAATGATATCATACTATATTTTATATTGTATTTTAATAAAATATAGATCTACACTATTGTCAAATGTTGAATAAAATTATTATAGTCATATGTCGATTTACATCATATTATTTCAATATTAACTAGGAAATGTCATCAGATGTTCAAGATATTTATAGTCTATGGTTTTTACTATAAATAACATTGTATTCAAAATTCTGAGTTCTTGTATATATTCTAGTATGACAATTTCGAATCGCATTTGAACTACATTCTTGTCGTTTCCTATACACGCTATGAAGAATGGTAGACAGCAAAGTACAGGATGTAAGGTCAAATCACGTCATACACGTATGAATCATATACATAGGAGAAGCATTTGTGACAAAGGGATCAACTCGTCATCTGCTTTTAAAATACACATACGCGAAGAAAGGCAATTATAAGACGAAGGGATTAGAAGAAAAAGGAATCAGCTGTGAAAAGGATTAGAAATGACGATTAAATTTAAATAGGAAAAATTAGCAACAGATCTAAAATTGTACATACTCGTTTTTGTCGTTTAACCCAGTGTCCATATTCAGTCATATTCTGTGGCATAACAATCGGTTTTGATATATTTGGATTGAGGAAATTATTTGCATGAAGAAGGGTTGCCCAATCAATATATCGAGCTCGTGTTCGAGGTTTTGTAGTTGTTTGTATATTTGAAATGTTTGCTGTTGTTGTTAAACGCATCAGCTAAATAAATAAATGAATAAATAAATAAAATATTTGTATTTTGAGCTGCATACTCTTGTTGAAGATGGTGTTGTTAAAAAATTATTAATTTGATTAACATTATTTACAATATTATCAATTGTTCCACGTGGAATTCCAGCCAATAAAGAAACAATTTGATCAAAATTAACTAATGGTGTTAGAATTGGTACTGCTATATCAAGTGTATTAAATATTGGCATTTTTAATAAATCTGGATTAAATGTTCTTGTCATTTGTTTAACAAAATTATATGATCTATAATAATAAAATATAAAAATTAATACAAAATAAAAAAAAAGAAATTATTTACGCATAAAGATTTAGTCCAGCTGTTTTTGTTCTTGATAATAATTCACTAACTGCCGAAACACTATCAAATGTTAAACGTAGGTCATTTTCGAATGATCCAACTTTATTCACTGTAAATAATATACTTGATAAACCCTCGAAAGCAATAGGTGAAAATTGTATATCCATAAAATAGTTTTGTATCTAAAAACAAATAACCAATGATTAAATTTTGAATGAATATCGAAAATAAATGAATTACTTGATCATAACGAATACCATTTAGTAAATTATTATAAATTGCATCAACATTATTATGACTACCACAATAACGATCAACACGTTCTTTAAGATTTTGAGATGTTGCATCATCTAAAACAAATAATGTCCAAAAACCGGGTTGAAGACAAACTGCTCGATGACTTGATGTTCCAGTTAATTTACTAACAATAAATTCTGATAACTAAAAAATAAAATTTTTGAAAAAGAAGATACTTTTATTTCTAACTTACAACAAGAAAATTAATTCTCGATATTAATATTGGAGCTTCAAATTGTTTTGTAATTGTTAATGCTGATTGTAAAATTGTATTCAATGGTAAATCACGAAATAATTGTTGAGCTGTTAATGTTTGAGCTAAAGAATAATAATAACAATAGATTTTAATTAATTTATTTTTCAAAATAATTTACTCATATTATCATAACGATGAAGAAAATCAACAAACATTTTTGTAATTTCATATAATTGTAATATGATACGTTCTTCAGTTATAATATGTAAATCAGATAGAATTTGTCCAAAACTAGAAATAAATATTTTGAAAAACATATTCGAAGGATGTATATTTTCAGAATTTCTAATTGTTAAACTTACAGCTGAATTAAATCACGTTGATTTTGTACAAGTTCAATAATTTGTATAAGTCGAGGGATAATTCTTGCTATATCAGTAATATTTGGCATATTTTGTAATAAAGCAGCATATGAACTTAATTGTTTGACTGTACTTTCTAAATCTCTTAGTTGTTGAATTTTATCTTTCAGATCTTGTCCATTGATTAATTGTGAAATATTATTAAACTTATTTTGAAAAGAAAAATAATAAAAGATATATATATATATTTATTATACTTACATATTGATCAATTACATCATGATTAAGTTCATTGATAAATGTACTTAAATCCATTGTAAGATTTCGAATATTTAATTGACATAATGCTTGAATAAGAACATTTGCATTACCGGAATTATCAACTGTAAGAATATGATTAAGAAAATTATTTCGACAAAATGGTTCAATATTAATTGTTTGATTGAATGTATTATAAATTTCTGTTAAATTAAATGAACCATTAAAAAAATTATCAATTAAATCATTTGATAATCCAGTTAATAATAAATCATTTTTTAATTCATTTGTATTATTAAATAAATCATACATATAAAATTTTCCATCTAAGATTTTTTGTAAAAATGTATCATTGAATGCATTATTTATATGATCAACACTACGTGTTAAATTTGGTAAATTATATAAAACTGTATTTACACCTTCTGTTTGTGTTAATCCAAGTATTCCATCATAGACAGATGGAAGACTGAAATTTATCAATATAAATAAAAAAAGATTTCAAAAAAGATTTTTCTTACTAATTTCTTAACGTCGATGTTTGCACATCGAAGGGCTTTAAACGACAGCTAACATTTGTATTGCACAAAAAGCTTTGTAGAAAACCAATCGTACCACTATTAGGTAACGGCATAGGATTGTGATAACCTAATTGAAATAGCAAATTTGTTTTTTCAAAATAATAAAATTTTAGTATTTAATAGTTACATGCTGGTCGATCTTGAATAGGTGATGTTTTTCGAATAATGGCAACAATAGAAAAGAGTAATAAAGGCCATGCAATTTCAAAAAGAAAAAGTACCTGAAAATAAATTTTAATTAAATTACGTAAGACGATCTACAAAAATATCTACCGGTTGTCGACGACGAAGTAGAAAATTCTTTTTAAATAATATTCTAAATTGTGCAAATGCCATCTAGAAGATAGACAAGACAATGAATAAAAATACAATCATCTAACTATATGGACAAGTATAATTAACAGTAGACAGAGAAACAGAACAAACTTTGATCATCTCCTACATATATTGGCACTTGCTTGTCGTTGACCGATGTATGTACGTATGTATGTATGTATATATGTATATGTGTATTGTTCATTATTTGAACGAAAAGATGCAATAATCACCTCTCTGTGTCGTCTCTCTGCGACAATAACACCAGCACCAGCACGTGTCCATTTAAGCTCCGAGTAAATACGCATCCGTCTGTCTATTCACTAAAGAGATGAATACTTTTAAAACGGGAGAAGAAGAAGACGAAGAGATAGAAATGAAGCGATATATATGTATATCTATCAATTCTAATCGTCTTGTGACAAATAAAAAGAAAGAAGATGTAAATTAATCAATACAAACATCTATCAAAATCGGCTTCATAATATTCATGCAAAATGATACTGGTAGTGTATTCAAACAGAAGCTTAACATGTTGTGCGATATACATACATATATATAGAGAGAGAGACAGAGAACGCACGAAGGTCGATTGATGTCTAAAAAAAACGACGAAAAAAAAAATACTTACTTGAAAACAATACTTCGAATAAGATTATATGCTTTTTTACATAGACAAACAAGTAGACATGATTACACAATGATTAATTGAGAATTTTCTTAACAAATCTCTCTTTTATTTTTAATGTTGATCCTTTCACACTCAATTTCATTCTTTATATTAAAGCGAAAAGCACGTCATCATCCTCTTTCATAAAAGTACAGTTCTTTTTTTTTTGTCTCCTCTTCTTTTCTTCTAGATCATCAGCCACCCGCACACCTTCGTTTTATTATTATCGTGAGCACTCTACTTACTATCGCGTCATTCGTTATGTGATGGTATTGTTGTTCTTTCGTAATTTGATCATTACATCTCTCTTGTGTTTCTCTTGTTTCATGAGAAGCTGTTTTTTTCGTTTTTCCTTTCAAGTGTCCATGACATTACTAATTCATATTAAAACTTAAATGAGAAAACGAAATAAGAAGAAAAAAAATTGATAATACTCCATATGATTTGCTTTTCTTTTTCTTTCTTTTCGTATCTTTAAATTTAATCATAAAAGAAAAACTAACAATGTATCACCTTTCTTTTTCTCTTGTTGGACCAGTATTACTTATCGACAATTAAAGTTCTATAGTACCTACATCAATGAATGAATGTTTAAATGAGTTGTCGTACTGAAAGTTTAGCAATAATAATAGACTAGTCAATATTTGCTGATTGACATTGTATTAACGAGAAATGAAATGTACTATCAATGGCATTGACATAAAAAAAATTAAATTAGATTTGTATTTTTGTAACGGAATAAGAATAAATGCTGCGGATATGAAATCTTTTGAATGACAATAAAAAAAAGTTTGATATTCATTTACCAAAAATTGAATTTCATTATAAAAGTTATCTTAGAAGTGGTAGTATACATGTATATAAAGTAAACATTGATTTAAAATGAGTAATGGTATATTTCTAGCGTCGCAAAATAATATGATTTTTATAAAAATTAATCTCTAAATCAATTTTAAAATATAAAACATCAACAATGACGTCTATCTATTGACGGACGAAGCTCAAATTTCAATGTATTTATGTCAAAATTTTGTTATTGCTAATATTAATATACTTTTTATAAAAATCCTTTTGTACATATTGAATGATCGTCATAGTAACTTCGAAATAACAATATACAGAATTCTATCTATTGATATATGTATATCATTTCTTTTTT